AAACTGTTTTTTCATTTTTGGTCGAAAAGAGGACGTGGGCAAAAAGAGGAAGGTCATTTTTGGGCGAAAAGAGTTCCGCCCGTGAAGACTTCCAAATTTCAGGTGTGTACGTTGAATAGTTTTTGAGATTCAGCGATCAGTGAGTCAGTGGTATTTGGATTTTATATGTATAGATAATTAAATATACATATGTACGTACTCAAATGTACGATTATTATGTTCCAGTCTACGTCTATGTGAATAGACTAAGGGTAATGAGTGTGCAATTAGGAATTTGTCTTATTGGGGGGGGGGGGGTTAGATATTTTTTTTTACATAATAAATAATTAGATTTTCATGTACAGTGTTAAGTGGTACTCCTTGTAGTACTATTTCATCAAAAATCCTTAAACTAATATATAGGTACACAAAATGTATTAATAAATATTGCTTTAAAATTCTACACAATTTAGGATTTATGGGATTGTCCCTTTTTTGATCATCACGTCTCGTTGTCCCGATAAATTTCGAATGGGATGCTTTTTATACCGTTTTTAGAAGATTGTCCCGTTTTAATACCGTTATTTCCATATTATTTATTATATAATGTATTAATGTTTGTAAATATAATATCTATACCTATATGAAAAAAATATAAAGGAAATAGCTTATTGTGTATAATTTTCCTAATTCTTGTTAAAAAAATGTAAGAGTAATTTTATGTAACAATACATTATTTAATACTTTAATTGTAATATTAAAAATTAAATTTTTCTAATTATTTAAAAATTATAAGAGTTTTGAAATGCTACATTGTGTTGTTTGATCAATAATAAAGAGAAAATATTGTGTAATAATAATTAAAAGAAAATATTTTATTCCTAAGGTTATTTTACTAAAAAAGGCTAAAGTTAAAAGAAAATAATTGTTTATGATATGATAGAGATTTGGACTTTAACTCTCAAGATTTGTGTACATATGCGTGAATGTATATGGATGAGGGTTTTTTTTTGAGGGGAGGGGGAAGTAACAGCTGTCCCGTTTTTTTATTTTCTTAATATGGTTACCCTACTATATTATAATAAATTCTTCAAAATTAAAATATTGAATATATTAAAATTAAATTTTACTTTTAAATTAAACAATAAATATTTAAATGTTAATTCTGTTTGTAATATAATTTAATATAACTCTTTTCTTGTATTGTTAATAAAAGGAATTCTAATTTTTTTGTATGTTTAGCCAATCCGTTAACCATATCATTAGGATTTAGTAGGATTTAATTTATTGTATTTTCAATTTCATATTTAGTATCTTTAGATAAATAGTGATCATTCTCAATTTCCTGTAAAATTTACAATTATTAGGTACCTACCTAAAGTCTATACAGAGGCGGATTTAGACTTACTTCTAGGGGGGGGGGAGGGGCAACTCAAATTTTTTCTTTAATTCTGACTCAACATTTTCAAATAAAATTGTTTGTTATATTTAAATCAAATTAATATTTGTATTTATTTTTTTATTTTTTTTAATCTAATTCTGTATCCATTTAGAATCGATTTTGTGTAGTTCTTTTTTAACACCTGTCTGCACTGAACGAAAAATGGACATCTTATTAAAAAAAAGTACATTGGATTAATAAATTTAGATATCAAAATAACTCCGATGAAGACGTTAATTGATATAATCATCTAATGTTTATAAACAACATATTTGATGTATCGGAACGTTAAATGAAGAAAAATGGTTTTATTTTATTTATAATTTATGTTTATTAATATTAAAATTCTAATTATTAATATAACGTACGAAGTTATTTTTATTTGCAATACATTTTATCATACTGGTAAAGTCTGGTTATTTATTTGATGTGTATGAATTCTTGATTCAATGTTACAGATAATTCTATTAATAAATAGTTGTAGTTGATTCAATTGTTGAATTAATGAATGCAATATTTATTTATAAAAAACTATATCATTGTATAAATTAATTTAAATTATTAATGTAATGAATGCATTTTTATAATATACCTAATTAATTTTGTTTTACAGTAAATTAAGTTACTGTTAAAAATTACTATCATTGAACTAAAAAAATAAGTTAATAGTTAATTAAGAATTATATTATAGAAGTATAAAATATAATAATTTATTAAACAAATTATTAATTTACCCTATATAAGTGTAGGTCATACCTATAAGGTTACCTATAAGTGTTAAAAAAAGTTAACCAAAAGGAAGAAGATTTGTAAATAATTGTGATGAAATAAAATTAAACATATTTATATTGTTTAATATGCCTAGTTTTATAATTATAATATTAATAATAAGCATAAAATAATAATGTAACAAAATACCTACCTATTGTAATACGAGTATAATAATAAAATTATTTATACATAACAAAA